TTCCCAAGCCTCCTCTTGGAAGGTTGTGAATCCTCATCATCTTCATTACTAGACTCTCCATCATCTTCTTCAGCAGGTTCTGCACCTAAAAGGCTGCATGTTTAAGAGGCTTTGGCTAAGGCAGCAGTTACTCTTTCTCACTGATGCAAAACAAAGGCCTCTTTACCTGAATCCACCTTCCCTTTGGTTTTGTAGTGCCACCCTTCTCACTTACAATCTGTGCCTTTCAGTCTTAGGCAAGGTGCTCTTGACAGACTCAGCAGTAGCAGAAGCTACAGTAGAGGTTGCATCTCTGCCATAGGTGATGCTCAAGGGGTGATGCTTGCCAAGGTCTGCTAGAGACATGGGCTGCTGCATCCCAAACATTGGCAACCCCATGCCACCCAACATCCCAAACTGGGCAGGGTTGACATGAACAAACTCCCTGGGCAGAGAGCACCTTCCAGGCACTGATTTGCGCTTACTTGAAGGCATGGCCTATTGCCTGCCTTTGATCCAAAATGGTGCTAGTCATTCAATTCCATGAAGAAGAGAAGCAGAACCCCAGCAAACTCCCATAGATTCATAAAAGAACCCATCAAAATCCCACAGGATTCCCATGGGGTTTATTTAGCTTTTTTGGGATTTATTAGGGTTAAGTTGGGATTCTTCTGGGTGTGATATGTTGGCCAAAAAGACCTCTAACAAGACAGCCCCCAATGCCATGCTAAGAAGAACTCGTGGAATCTTTCCACAGCTGAGTCTGGAAGGCGAATCAACTTGAATCAACCTGTGAAAAAGGCATTGAAGTATGTTGAAGTCATGCTGCAGGTGGTTTCAAGTGATCCTTTGGCCACAGGTCATGCTTCCTGTTGGATCCGATGTCGGGGACGAGTGGCTTCAGACTGCTAACTCTTGAGACGGGCAACCGCGGGAGCGCGCGACCTCACCGTCGCTGGCCACGTGCTATGAGTGGATTGGTCGTCGGCTTTCATTGACGCCTTGTTTCTGCTTCAGCCACGGTCACCACTTTGGGCATTTCCTTTCTTTTGGCTTGGATTCGATTGCGAGGATAAACTGGCACAGTGTGACGCCTTCATTTGCTTCGGCCATCATGTGGGACATCACAGTTGCCATCATGTGTTTAACTTTTTTGGATCACATAGCCTTGTGGATTGTGGTGGCTTTGCATTTGCGTTATGCCGGCATTTATCATCAGTACTACGGCTGGCAAGCAGTCGGAAAAAGGGCAGGCCCGAGATGTGGGAGACACATGCCTCTCATGTGTTGACTCTATATCGGGGTAGTTTTTGGCCCTAAAGCTGTGAAACCTATGAAACCTTCAATGTCTTCGACTTCAGACGGCTAGGCCCGGCTTCCACGGCGAGGTGGTCAAATTGGTCAATCTCATGCAGATAACTTTTGATCTCATGGTCCAGCTGTCTATCTTATGTCGTTCGACCATCATTCTCATTACTCACTATGTCTTGAATGAGCCAAGTGAATGAACGCCTGCCCTACCTCTCCCCCACACAGCATTCGATTGGCACAGACTGCACAGAAAAATGGCTTGCTTCTCGAACATGCACCAAAATAGGGTGTGGTCCCCTATTCGGTTCTGAAGGTTTCGCACACCCTTGTGCCACACAATACTAAAATGGTCTTAAGATGTCTGAATGATTATTTTGGGTCACTGCTTTCTTGCCGTGGGTCTTCGAGCTTTATGGCCTTGTTGGAATAAATCTAAGCAAACAGGGTGGCATAAGTTTTGTTTGTTCCCCAAGTAGGGCTCAGACACTTCTTATGTCACCTGGTTGAAACTGTCTCTCTTCCATTCTGAGGCTTCCTGTTGGAAAGTGTCCAGAGAACCCAAAACATGATTCGAAGCAAAATGTTAATCACACGAAGAACTCGTGGAATCTTTCCACAGCTGAGTCTGGAAGGCGAATCAACATGAATCAACCTGTCAAAAAGGCATTGAAGTATGTTGAAGCAAAGTTTCAATAGTCGGAGCTTGGCCGTCGCCGTCTGCCACTGTGGTCAGCGTAGGCATCACAGTTTTGCACATCAAGCCCGCTTTAGGGCCCGTTGGGAAGCAGCGGTCTCCAGGGGCACTGTTAAGCAATCGAGCACAAATTTGCCAATGACATGGAATAATGATGAGGAGTATTGATCATTGAGAAAACATGATTGCAAAAATGGAATTTAAAAATGACATTTCAGTACGACTCCCCCCCCCTCAAACTCCATTTTTAAGAGGGTAGGGTAGGGATGTTTCAAGTGATCCTTTGGCCACAGGTCATGCTTCATGTTGGATCCGATGTCAGGTCTTGTGTGCAGCAAAGTCATATCCGTCATATCCTTTTCTCTGACCCCCAAGAATCCCACACACTTGAAATGGCTGGGTCGGTTGGATGGTTGCAAGTCGGACCAACCACTTGAAGGTAAAGCTTATGGCGAGGATCTTTCGAGCCAGTGTGCTGCAAACGGTACACTGTGGTACCACGTCTCACGCTTACGGCAAGAAAATGCAGCGTTTAGATGTTGAGTTGTCAGCAATGCGCCAACGTACCATGTAATGGGCAATCTGGTTGGTGGCTTGGGTGCTTGGCACGGATCGGGGCACGATGCATCTCAATCTGGAGCTCAATGCATCTCCTTAGTTGATGGTAGTCCTGGTGGCTTTTCTCAGCTTCTACATTCATCTGCCAATCAATCACTTCAGCGAGGTGGTCAAATGTGGTCAATCTCATGTAGGTAACTTTTGATCCTATGGTCCAACTGTCTATCTTATGTCGTTCGACCATCATTCTCATTACTCACTATGTCTTGAACGAGCCAAGTGAATGAACGCCCCCCTACCTCTACTCCCCACAGCCCTTGATCGTCTCACCAACGCCTTCCCAGGGAATCTCCCCTCTCTTCGTTATGCCAATCGAATGGAGGGACGTGAGGGTAGCGACAGGCGGAGATCACTTGAGTGGCATAGACTGCACAGAAGAATGGCTTGCTTCTCGAACATGCACCAAAATAGGGTGTGGTCCCCTATTCGGTTCTGAATGTTTCGCACAACCCTGTGGCCCCAAGCCACGCAATACTAAAATGGTCTTAAGGTGTCTTAAGGATTATTTTGGGTCACTGCTTTCAAGATACCAAGGTCATACATCGCAGGGTTCCTGGACTGCCGCGGGTCTCCGAGCTCTAAGGCCTTGTCGGAATAAACCTGAGCAAACAGGGTGGCATAAATTCTTTTTTTCCCCAAGTGGCGCTCAGACACTTCTTGTGTCACCTGGTTGAAACTGTCTCTTCCACTCCGAGGCTTCGTGTTGGAAAGTGTCCAGAGAACCCAAGACATGGTTCAAAGCAAAATGTTAATCACGCGAAGAACTCGAGATGGAATCTTTCCACAGCTGAGTTTGGAAGGCGAATCAACCTGTAAAAAGGCATTGAAGTCATGTTGCAGGCTCCAAGTGATCCTTTGGCTTTAACAGGTCATGGTTCATGCTGGATCCAGCGGATGTCAGGACCGACCTGGACCCAAAAGCTCCGAAACTCCTGTGAGAAACCAAAGTCTTCCTCTGCTCATCGGCACTACCCCGATCAAGTTCGACAAATTCGAATTTGATTTCACCGACGTGGCTGGGAGTTCGTATGCCTTACTGAAAACACAACAGTCTACCGACTACCGACAGTCTACCAGTCTACCACGAGCGCAAAGTTTCAAGAGTCGGAGCTTGGCCGTCGCCGTCTGCCACTGTGGTCAGCGGGGGCATCTTCACAATTTTCAAGCCCGCTTTCAGGCCCGTTGGGAACTTGCGGTTAGTCTCCAGGCGCACTGTCAAGCAATCGAGCACAAATTTGCCAAATCAAAAATCTGATACCAGGACAAATAGATCCAGGATCCGTTGCAAGTTTGCAATGTACTACGTTTCAAGAAATAGCAATTCAGGACCAATTGACATAAACTGCCTTTCATTGCAATGACCCTGCAGCGTTTAAAGGCGGCTGGCATAAACTGCTAGGATGGCCATTACGTGTCACAATTCTCGCGGCAGAAGTCAAAGTCCTCCTGAAATCTCGTTCGAAACTGCTTGCTGTCCTGGAACTCAAGACGCAACTGAAACGGCGGAATGGTGCAGACTTGGAATACACTTCATGGGCCGATCTATTTGGTTGATGGGTCCCCCAATAAATTAGGTAGTATAATATATCCCTGGAAGTCCAGGGACTCAAAAAGAACGTCCTCATGAAGATCCGTAGAAAGTGGATCAAAAAGGAACGTCCATGTAAAATCCTCATCATGTACCTTTTGAGGTCCCGGACCTCAAAAGGAACGTTGCTATAAACATCCTTTTGATGTACCTTTTGAGGTCCCGGACCTCAAAAGGAACGTTGCTATAACATCCTGTTGATGTACCTTTTGAGGTCCCGGACCTCAAAAGGAACGTTGCTATAACATGCTATATAACGTGCTATAATCGTCTTTGCATATTGATAAGCTGTCCAATTCGTGATGATCTACTTGGGATGCACTTCTTTTCTGGGGAACAAATCCCATCATGATCTCGTCATCGTGTCCTTGCAACCAAAGATTTCGAATTCATTCATCAGGTGGATTCATTCATCAGGTGGATTGACTATATGCTGGTATGGGATCTGTTATATTTGGCCATAGACCCATGCACTCATGATGGGAACCGCCCCCCCAAGTTGGAATCATGCTATTTTCATCATTCCTGCTGCTCTTGGCTGTGGCTGAGTGGATTTCAAAACGGTATATAGGGGGCCATGCATGCTTCGGTTGAAACGGGCGCTTAAGCGCTCAAGATTGCGGGACTTGGATGAAAAGCTCCAGCATGATCTTTACGGCCCTCAATGTGGTGCTGGCTTGATTGAGCTGCTGGTGCTGATCCTTGAATGATGGGATGGGGGATGGCCGTTTCTTGACACCTGTTCCACGCAGCCGCCCTTTTAGATCACCACTCCCGATAGCAACAGTTCTTGCTAGATAATGCAGAGCCATGCCTCGAAGCAAGGCAGACGCAACACTTTCTGAGCAGTTGAAGGATAGGGTGCAGGGTCATTGGGAAAAAATGTTAGGTGATTTTGGGGCTAGGATCTTTTCATCAACACTTGCAAGAATACGAAGCTACTGTGGGAAACAACCGTTTTGAATGAGCCCTGCTTTGCAAACAGGAGTTCTACAGATCCTTCTTCAAAGATCCAAACTTCAAGCTCGAGAGGTTTCATCAACTGGCCAGGAAGAAACACATTCCTGCTGCGATGGTTTCTCAAGCCCTCGAAAAAAAGAAGGTTCGGTTCTTGGATTTTTTGTTGAATCTATACATGTTCGGTTCCGTAGCAAAGACCCCGCATAGAATATTTTTAAAAGCTAGCGTCGACTGGCACATGTAAAAGTGCTGAAATTCGCTCAATCCCGTTCCCCTTCCAGGCACCGTGTCTCTTTACCTTCTTGAACTTCAAACCCAATGAGAGTTCTTTCAAAGCGGAGGATGTCTGGGCCCCCAGAGTTTTTAGCTGGTGACATGGGGGGCGGTAGTGGTGATTCAGAGGATTAATTGTTATTGCAGCACGAGGCTGAAAATGACATGTTCCCTATCGACATACCCGACTTAAGACTTGTGTTTCCGAGTTTCTGTAATGTGGTGTCAAGTTGCATTGCAAGGTCAAGGACGAACACAACTGTCAGCTGATTCTCAAGCTCCTCGCGACGATCGGACTGACAGTGCCTTCAACTCCCCATGTGTCAAGGGCACTGGCGGTTGTAGCGAAGGAAGAGGATTTGCTGGGGGACACTGCTACAACTTTAGACATAGAGGCATGTAGATGGGATTGGGTTGTGCCGTGCGTTTGTTTTCAAATTTTCATCAGGATCAAAATCACCCATGTGAAGATATAGACATGCATATAAAAAAGTATCCTGCTGTGCCACCCGTTTCAAACGTAACCCATCCTGTCAGGCATGGTCGGACCAGGAAGCTGACCTTCACAGGGGGCTGATGCAGTATGCCATCCGCCGGACTGGTCGCAACCCCGATTCGAGGAGCATTTCAATTTTTTTAAGTTGGGCAACCTGTTGCCAAATGGTGAATCACCTGTGGGCTTGCCTGTATGTTCTATGTGAGCCAAAATTCAATCCAAACCCAAGTCGAGATCAGGATAATGCTATAATTTTCTGCTTCCAACGCAGGAGTTGGGATGCCAACATGTCGAAAATCAAAGGCATGGTCAAAGAGCTGCAGAAGGAGCACAACCCGACTCTGCACCGAAAGAAGAGCAGTAAATCTACTGGTGGTGATGAGGGGAAAAATCTTTCCAACAAAGAGGCTCCCAGTGCTGGATCTACTGGATCTACAAAGTTAACTGGCAAGTCTGGGATGGGTAAGCTATCTAAAGATGACATCAAGTATTCCAAGACCCTGGCGTTGGGAGAGTGCAGCCTGGCCAATGAAGCATTGGAAAATACACATTAACGGGTACGAATATCTGGTCCCTCATATTTTTGTAGATCTGTGCATCCAGCGCTTTGCAGCCCAGGCACGACGTCATCCGAATCCGAAAGTGAACTTGGAGAGGGTCACAGTGAGCACCCAGCCGAAGAAGAAAGCCTCACAAACGATGAGTGTGTGAGTCTTCTAGCTCAATTTCGTCCATGTGCATGCCCCTGATGGAGAAAGGATATCAATAGTGTGCTGGTGTACTATGTATATATGCGTGTGCCCTACACAGTCCACTAGAATTTCTACCAACCGATGGCTTCACCCAACACGGATCAATCCGAGCAACGCCCCTGATGCCCATAGAAGATGAAGCTGCCCAGGCCCTGGGGATCCAGCTGGCGGTCAACACCCAGATGCCGGTAAGCCAGAGATCCCGAAGGAATTGGGCGTGTTCTTCACTTTGTGGCCATGTGTTGGGAATTAAGTCATAACTTGATGGGGAGATGGTGGGGATTGACAGCCTTGACATTTTTAAAATTGGGGGTGATGTGAGCGGATGCTATCCTAATCGGGGCACTTTGCTAATGCATCATGCCACTGCCCCTAGTGCAGAAATCATGGACATCATCACATGGTCATCCAGATTTTTGAATTTTTAGTTGGCCCACGCAACCCCCCAAAAATTGCTCACTACGATCTGTCCCTGGGAATACATTATGACGCAGTTTTTTTTGAAGGACCTGAAGAAAAAGCTTTGCGATCACACTGGGTCATGTCGATATATTTCCAAAATAGCGCGAATGATGTTAAATTTCCAACTTGACCAACTCGACAGGAGAAACCCTTTCCAGTACGATCTGTCCCTGCAACTTTGCTGGCCGCTGCAGAAGCTTCGATGGATACTCTTCGCCAAAATGTGGGGGAAAACTCTGATTTGATGAAGGCTCCATTGCATCGGTGCCCCTGAAGTTTGATCCTCATCGCCTCCCAAACTATTGCGGTTTTGGGTTTTTAATATTGACCGACCACCAGAATAGGAGCTCGCAGTGAAAAAACATAAGGGTGGTTTGAAAAGGATCAGCCCCAAAAACGATCTCCCATATGCCTTTTACATAGCCAAAATACATTCGACCTATATTATATTATATCTATTCGCATGCATATTGGGCAACCTCCATGGGCAACTACATGGGGCGTACTTCCGCTTTAGCCCAATTTCTTCCACCCCATGCATCACGCAGGTCCAGCAGAAGATGCGACAAGCTGCAGCATCTTTCCAGCCTGCTGCTGGCCCAGCACCTGGCGATGCGCCGAAGGCATCCAGGGGAAAGGGCAAGGGCAGAGGTAAAGGGAAAGGTAGAAAACAAAAGGGTTCGGAGGATGAAGGCAAGGAAGGCAAGGACGAAGAAGAACAGGAGAATAGTGCCGACGGCAGCGATGCCGACTTAGAGGAAGAGGACCAGGAGATTCGAAAGGAGTTGTCAGAAAGTGAGGAAAACAAAGGTGAAGGGAAGACAGAAAGGAAGACACCCAAGCGATCCAGGTCGTCCAGTTCCCCTCGCCAGAAAAAAAACAAAACCAAAACCCCAAAGAAGACTCCTGGCCGAAAGCGAAGAACGACGCCCAGAAAAAGGAGAACCCCAAAGCTGAAAAGGGCTCTGAAAGGTGCCGACCAAGACGTTTCTATTCTGAATTATAAGCGATGATTTTTTGCTGTCAGTATGCCCGCTTACCTTTTTTTTGCTTAGAACCCAAGGCTGGGACAGTGCTGAAAGAACATGAGGAGGCCAGCAACAGTTTCCGTTTAAACCCACATTTTTCTAAAACAGGCCACACGAAGTTATAACTGTAATTCAGCCAGCTCTATGCCGACTTTATTGCTAGACCGTTCCTCATCGCACATTATTACTGGCATTTATGACCTGGTTGCAAGGCCATTGAAAAGTTTCGACGGGAAGCGGCTGAAGAGATTCGAGATGACAGGTTTGTGATCCCCACGGATTTGGCCAATGTGAAGCTACTAGCTAGCACAGCCTTTATTGCGCCAAACAAGACATATGATCAATTAGTTGGCGTTCAATCTGCCAGCCCGTTCCTTAGGTCATTCACCCTGGCGCCCTTGACTTCCAAGGGCCCTAGCATTGGGGTCTTGCCACTGGCCGGATCACTGGTGAGTTCAGATCTGAATATGTGATTCTAACCCCTTCTTCCCACATGCAAAAATCCCATCGGTTTTTGATTGAGGTTTACAGTGCGTAGCTTCTTCGTGGGTCGCGTGGAACAAGCTGAAGTGGATGCAATTATCCAGAAAATGGGGGGGCCTAAGTTGAAGGTGGGGAATCACCATGTTGAATCAGGGCAGTGTTAACTACAAATATTTGTGACCATTTTGCCCCGTATGCAGGTCAATCCATCGAGGGCATCAGTTACACTTTCCTGGGCAAAGCATGGTGGAATTGGCGAGTCGCCGGGGTCTCGGACTTGAGTTGGGCAGGGCAGGATGTTTCTCCGGACTTGGATGACTACCCGCCCAAACCACCTGGCCTCCCAAATTGTTCTGCATTTGGTCCACAAGAGCTCAATATTCCTGTGAGGTGGCGCAAAGCATGTGCTATCGCTGGCTGGAACGAACAAGGTGGGCTGGGGTCAGGGGGTATTTTCTTCTTTTAATTCCGCCTACTTACAACAAAAAATCAGCATGTCACTCCCAGGCTAAAGGTGATGTGGTCAATTGATGAACTTTTGGCAAGTCCCTTTGGCAAAGCTGATTATTTTTACACCAGCCACGTTCAACTTTATTACGAAGGAAGTTGGCACAATGTTGAAAGCACTCCTGACCAGGCTAGAATCTTTGGATCTTCGTGGCAAGGACAGGCGCGGTGCGGTGTGAGGAAAATGGGCGCCCAACTCAACCCATGCCATGTCGCGACCATTGGCATGAATTTGCCACACCAATAGCATGACATTCATGGACGACATTTTTCTTGCAGCAGGTATATCTTCCCATCGTGAACTGATAGGTGACAAATATGCTGTTAGTAAGGAAAAATATCGATTGAGAACGGTGCCATACACATACATGGCCAATGCAAAAACCTATGCGGCCACCAATATTTACCACCAATGCCACCAGAAATGAATGCTATTAAACCCTCTAGAAGTGGAAATTGGGTTCATCATATATATAAAACCATATATATGGGCATTGTGACTCATTTTCTTCGACGCCATGACGGGTGCCCTGGGTCTCACTCGTACCCAATGTGCTTTGCTCCATGCGTGCTGCTTGCCATTGGTTGTCTCTCGATGCAAACAGTTTTGAATTGCAAATTTTCCTCTTGCCTTGCTCCCCAAAATCCAAAAAACACGAAAAAGGGACCCCCCCCAATTTTTTGTTTGCACTTTCCCTTGGTGGGGGCTTTCTTTAGAGGGACAAACCCACAGGAAAACTGATAGTTTTAAATGTCAGTTTCAGGTTCGTCTCCATTGTTTGCTTTCCGGTTGTGAGGTTATAGAAACCCTCTGGGTGATTTTGGCATGTTTTGACGTATTACATGGATGTCCCCGTTTGGAAACACATCAGGTTCTCCCATTGGCCTTCGGCCCAGGTTCCATGCCATAGAGTACGTCGACCAGATCTCTTCCCAGAGCAGCGCTGTGAACCGCCGTGCCAAGTCCTTGGTTAAAGCATGGCATATTATTTCATCGATCGTGGTTCTACTTTTGGAAGAATTGATCAAGCCACCCCATCACAGAGCATCTCTACACATATTCCAAAGGATTTCCAATTAAGCCCTCCTGTTTAGGCTTGTTATGAAAAAAAAGATATCCTCCCAACATCCTGGTATATGACGTTTTGATTTCAACATGGTCAAGCCAGCTGGCCCAGGGTCATGTCACAAGCTGCGCCCAGGATGTGGACTGCCTGGATGCCTTTTGTGGCAAAGGAAGGTCAATCAGTGCTGGGTTCAGCCGATGCCTCAATTGCAGCGTCGCGTATCCAGCCACAAACCTGGATGTGTAATAATTAACTACCAACAGAAGTTGAAAGTCCTTACTTCCCCACCTGCCAGGTGAGGGTTGTTAGATTTTATCAGAGCTGTTCTCCTCATCCTCCTCCTCCTCCGCCTCCTCCTCTTCCTCCTCCTCCAGTTTCTCCTCGACCATGTCTGCATCAACTTCCACGTCCACTTCCGCCTTGCCAACTTGTCTCCAATCTCTTCGCCAACTTCCGCGCGCAGTGGGCACTGCTGGACCTCAACTGCCGGCTGCCGATCTGAGTGAGCACGGCTGGACCTCAACCACAAGGTTCCGAGCGCAGTGGGCACCGCTGGACCTCAACCAGGGACCTTCCGAGCCCAGTGGGCACCGCTGGACTTCAACCTGGGACCTTCAGAGCTCAGTGGGCACCACTGGACCTCAACCTGGGACCTTCCGAGCTCAGTGGGCACCGCTGGACCTCAACGGCGAGATAGAATGCCAGAAGATATGCCAGATAAAGTGCCAGAATGTTTGCCAGATAGAACGCCAGACGATTTGCCAGATAGATTTCCAGATAAATTGTCAGAATGCCAGAAGATATGCCAGATAGAGTGCCAGAAGATATGCCAGAACATATGAGAATGCCAGAAGATATGCTAGATAGAATGCCAGAAGATATGCCAGATAAAATGCCAGAAGATTTGCCAGTAAAAAATGTATAAATGTCATGGTGGGGATGACTCGAAGTAAAGTAATTTGTATTTTTTTGAAGGCACCCTTTTTATCATTTTTGGGCCCAAAATTAGAAAAGGCCAACTTCGAAAAAAGACGCGGATATCACCCCAAAGAGCGTTGATGTGAGATCCGATCTGCCCAGGGGGACTGGGACGGAAGACGCCCTCTCCTCAGGCTTAAATTGAATTTGTGAAAGTCATACTAGGCAAACTTTTTCATTTGCAAGTACTGGAATGGAACACCAAAATTGATTGATCATCTTGTTATTCTCTTTGCGATGATTTGAAAAGTGTCAGTGTTGGGGATCGAAAAGTGGTGGTCCCCTGCTTGTCTATACCATTCCCAGGTTGGATTTCGATATTTTGCGACAAGGGCAGGACAACGATATTACCACTACGCTGGGTCCTCGGTCAACCATAGAACAACGTGTTGAAGTACTTGGTGGGTACAAAGCAAAACCACTCTTTGAAGGACGGCGACCACAACTTCCAAATGCATACTCAAATACACATGCATCTTGATTTAATAGAATCGAAGACATTTGCACATCCATGTTGGGCCCCATTCAGCCTATCTCGACTTTAATTGTTATAAATGTGTCCGAATCCAACGTTTGATTCGCAAATGCCAGAGGCTGTCAAATGGCAAGCGGCCCAATTTCAAATCTTCCTCCCTGGCGACAAAGGCATGGCTACCTGAAGTTGATACAGCAGGCGCTCAGGGTTCGGCCAGATGGACTTGGAGCATTTGGCATACCATGTGGGTCCTATATCTTTCTGAATTCCCCAACGCATCAACGGGATGCTGCACATCCGTTTGGAAACGAAGACCTGGGTTACATCCAGGTCGCTAACTTGTCAATGCCTGAGTTTGCTAGCAAACGTTTACAGTTGCAGCCAGCTTTTGGATTCACCCCACATTGATTCTAGAATTGAGTTGTCTTTCACGTGATCGACTTTTCCCCAAGGATCGGATGTCGGACGGCACTGGTCCTCATCATCCTACTATGCCGCGCAGCATACATATTTGTGGAGCAGCCACAAAGCTCTAAGCTCTTTATGGTCCCGTACTATGTGTGGATCCAGGAGATGTGCAAAAAATTTAACATCACTCTTCACAATTCCTTTTTGCCAGAAGCCTAGTTTGAGAATTACGAATCACAAGGCAGAATGGCTAAGGCTTAGCAACACATTGATTGCCCATTGTTCGCCCGTCCCCAGCTTGATGCTAAGTTGGATGGGAAGTTTTGGCCACTTCGCATGCAAGCCATCTCGTGGCTGGGGGACACCGTCTGTGCCTCACTCTTGGGCCGTGTTGCTGCGAAATGGATCGCCCCCGGACATTTCCAGCTCATAGATGTTGGCTCAGGCCTTGGGTCCCACGTCTCTTTCTGAGGATGCCCTTGAAGCTTCGGAAAAAGCTAGGGTTGTCTAGTGCTGGAGTGACAGTCAAGAAAGTCAACAAGGATGGCAAACGTACAGTGCCACTTGCCTAGATATTTTGCTGGTGGGTGTTGTCTCAAACCTTTTCCTATATGCCACATATGGCTACTAGGAACCATCCAGAATTTGTTTCTGGAACCAGGACGGGATGAAATTCTACATGGGCTGTCAAATATACCACCCACACACGATTTGCTTGCTGAGGTCAGGTGGCCCACGCTTGCGACAGAGCGAGGAATACCCAAAGGGTTTCGGACGTGCTCTGGCAATTTGACATGTCTTCGGGAAGGAGACCGGGTCAGTGGATTTTATGGTTCGACGGGAAAGGATGAGAATTTGTTTTATCAACAACAATTTTCATCATCGCACATTTTCGGGGATCCTCATTTTCTGTTTTTAGCCGAAATCACCAACTCCCATATATACCTGCTACTGTCCAAGGTTCTGTTCCCGTAACCCACTTTAAGACAAATCTCAAAATTAACCTGCAGAACCGTGGTAAACATTCCTTGTACCGTGCAGAACATGAAGAAACGTTCGCTCAAAATGGCCCTTTCCATGGCGGCCAAGAAGCTTCAACCTCTGAAGGTGCCAGTGTGCCAACTTGCCAGCCGGAAGGGCTTTTGGATGGCCTCCAACTGTTGGTGGTTTTTGGAATTACCTGGTCTCAAAAAAGCGGCCATTTTCTCCTAGGTTATGATTTATTGTTTTGGGATGCCGGATTCATTTCCATTCGGTTTTCCAAATTTGCCCAATGATCGGCAAATTTTCAATGGATAGGTAAACTGGTCTTTCACCCTTATGTGACATAACATTATATATGCGTTAAAAGATTTAATAGCCAACAGATCATAATGGTGGTAGTACGGATATGGAAATTGGTATTTCTCAAAATGGGGGATGCTCGAAAATGTTCGAAATCAACCCATTGCGAACATTTTCGATCATCATGTTTTTAAACAATTATACTCCCAAATCCCAAATATAATTGACACCGGTTTTCAACAAGTGCCCTGGGTAACTATATTTTTTAGACCTCAAAAGTATTTCAGGTCACCTGGTGAAAACATATTGTCCAACTATTGAGGGCTTACACATACATAAAATATCCATCATTTCCGATTTCGAACCCCCAGCGTACCGTAGAAGATTGAGATACCACCAAAAAATAGCACCTAAAATCAAATCACTGGCTAACCCCCTCGCTGCTGCCAGGATGACCTGCCACCTCCAAATGATTGGAGCCATGCCAACTTAGAACCGTTGCAGCAGTTCCTGAGAGAACAGGCTGCAGCAGGAGCTTGGTGCCCCCGATTCAGTGAGGGCTTGTAGGCACCAAATGGTCTATGGGGTACGTTGCAAAAAGCAACAGCTAATTCTCAATCAAAACAGAACCGGGGTGTACAGCTGTGTGTTTTCATATGGCATCCAAAAAACGAAGTGTGCATGCATGCATCATTTCTCCACATTGCAAAGTGTCCAAAATGAGGACAAATCTAGAATCGTGAGATATCGTGAGTTTTCGTGAGTAGGACCCTCTAAAAGGACCAAAAAGGAACGGTTAAGGCCCTAAAAGGTACATATAGCGATCTAAAATCGTGAGAAAATCGTGAGAAATCGTGAGTGCATGCATCACATTTTCATTTTTCTCCAGCAGTGTGATAGATCAAAGGTCTTGACAAACTCTAGGGCCGGCCTACAGTTTGGGGTCCGCCATGGCTGATGTTCAGAAGCTCCTAGATCAAGGGAAGCAATCCCGGATGGCTTTGATTGAAAAACGGTTGTCTCCAACAGCGTTGGGGGCTTGATGCATGATACGAAATGGAACATGTCATAGGAACGGTGGATGTTCCACGAGAATTGATTTAGGGTAGGCCTCTGGCTCTCACTTAGGTCAGATTCCCAGACCACTATTCCAGCAGGCAATGCTTCCAAAAATCATTTTCGAAAATATATATTAGTACTGCCGTTGTCTTTGCCCATGCGCGCAGGTGAGACACAAGACTTACCTGACACGCTTCCAGCGACCGACATGGAGGTTCAAAACGCGTTGACAGGCAAGGGAGAGAAGGGCTCTAAGAAGGAAGAAGCAAAGGAAAAGAAAGGAAAGAAGGAAGCCAAAGGAAAGCATAAGAAGACGAAAGAGGCTAAAGGAAAGAAGGCACATAAGTCGAAGAAGAGCAAGAAGACGAAAGTCTTGAAGAAAGGAAAGACGTCTAAGGGGTCGAAGTTGAAGGGAAAGTCAAGCAAGGCTTCTGTCAAGAAGGGGAAAGATGGACTTGCCAAAAGAGACTTGCAGAAAGAATTCGACAGAGCAGCTTTGACAGAGCAAGTGCCAGCCACTCAGCCAGACAAGAGTTCAGACGAGGAAGGGGATCACGGACATGGACCACGACCCAATTTGGTTGGCTACGTCTACTACTCTGCAAAAGACCAGTGGCAGTTGAAACTTCAAAAGCTCATGGTCGGGGAGGACTACAAGCAGTGCATTGTGGAGGCGGGTGGCTACATACTCTTTTTCGAGGACGAGAACTGTGTGCTGAGCCATCTTCCTGACCGCACCCAATTTCCATTGCGTGTCTTCAGGGAACCTGTGCAGGCACAGGCTTATGCCCAGATTCGCGCTTCGGAAAAGGAACAGGAAGATGCAAAACGACAGAAGCAGGCAGAGACTTTAGCAGCGCAGAAAAAAGTTGAAGATGAGAAGATCTCGCAGAGCGTCGCTGAAGAACTTGCAGACATAGAAAAGAACGCAGCAAAGGCAGCTGAAAAACTTGCAGAGCAAAAGGCTGCTGCAAAGAAGTTGCTTGAAGAACAGGAGAGGAAGAAGAGAGAGATGGTCGAGCAACTGGTGGCGAAAGAGATGGCAGAACGAAAGATGGCTGAAGAGAAGGCAAAAGCGGCAGCACAGCAGAAGATGGTTGAAGAGGCAAAGATCGCAGAAGAAGTCGCGAGGAAGCTCGCAGAGCAGAAGGCCGCAGAAGATGAGAAGAAAGCCTTGAAGGAACTTGAGGAACGACAGGAGGCTGAAAAGATGGCACAAGAGCAGAAGGCAGAGAAGGAAAAGGCAGCGATAGCCCAAGAAGACAACAAAGACGCAGCTCGCAGGATTGAAGAACCGAAGAAAACAGAGGAGGAGGAGGATATCGCACTCAAAGTGGCACAGATGTTGGAAACGGAGAACTTTTCTGACAACCAGCAGAGATACACAAAGATTGTAGAGTTAGTGCGAAAGGCCAAGGGGATGATGGGTGAAGATACGGAACAGGAGAAGAAGGAGGAGGAAAGGAAAGCTGTGGAAGAACTCCTCTTGCGACCTGCAACGATGGATTTGACTACTCCACCGGCCACACCTCTGCCTGCACCGTCACCTATGCCCGCACCATCGACGTCACTTCCGGATACCCCCTTGCCACCCGGCGAGGAAGAGGCTGAGAAGTTAAAGGCCGCGGCTTTGGAAAGACATAAGAAAAGAAATGCGCAGTGGGGTCGCTTTATGAGGACTTTTGTTAGTGGGGGGCCCAACATTTCCATCAAACATTGTGCTGAAAAAATGTCATGACATATTAATGAAACTCTTACTGCAGACAAATCCAGCCAGCTTGTGGCGCTAAGGCACGGCAAAAAAGACACCGGATGACATCAAGGAGCTTGGACAGAAAGCAATTAAGCAGAAAGAAAAGACAGGCACCTGGACCCAGAAATGCCCTATGGGGGAGTGTGTGTGTGTGTGTTCCACCAATGTGCCTTCCCAAATGCCTTAAGGTGACTCCAGCGCGCTTCACGAACTCTTCGAAGAGTGGATCACTTCGGGTGAAGAGTGGCGGAAATCGCAGCTGTTTATCCGCATCCAAAACAACAACGGGACGATTGACAGTGATGCCCGGGGCTGGGTTTCCGTAGCAGAGTTGGAAGCCAAGCTGGGACCAGCAGGTGCTGATTCCATGATTACTTTCTTGGAAGCCACCGCCCCGGAAAAGTGCCGAGATCACCCTGATGCCCCGGGGGTCAAGGACACGTCCATGCATGTGTATAGACAAAACAAGATCTAGTAAGCCAGGTCCCACATGGTCTATGCCACTTTGTTTTCAAAGGGCCATGCTTACCATGTTAGATCACCTTCATCGCCATCCCAGGAGTGTCGACAATACAATGTGCTGATCAAAGACGAGATGGAAAAACGAAAGGAAGATTGGGTGACAAAGACTATGGAGTGCAAAGACGGCAGCTCTTCAGACTCTAGCTCTGAAGGCCCAAAGAGAAAGTCAAAGGGAAAGAAGGCACCAATGGGGGTGGTATCTGCAGATCATTTTTTAAAGCCATGACCATTTAGAATTTTACGCTGCTGATTTTCCAACATCTCAAGCCATAAGAACCCTTGAACATCCCGGCCCTCTTTCAGTCATGCCAGCCATGACGCGCAAGCAAGAAATTATAGCATGCTTGCGGGTGGTTGCCTGTGAGAAAATTTGTCTTTCTTGCTGGCTCCCAAATCTTATTCCGTACTTGGACCAGACACTTGGCTCAAGGTTCAGAAAATACTATTCTTACCTCCTTTCTGGGGAAGGTGGCTGGGAGACATCATTGTTTTTTTACAGCAACAAGAAATCTCAGGACATCAGTTTCCCATGTCAAAAGCATTTCCCGGGACTGCTCATGTGATGAACTGGCATCGATCGAACTGACCCGATTGGAGACTGAGTTGGCACATTCGCCTGACGGCTGCCAGTGTAAAAAAAAATGATGGACCAACATATGTACAGCAGCTTCTACCATTATAATTCACGAATTATGGGGTGGCTTACCAATCCCCTGTCTGAGTACCAGTGCACCATGCCGGTCAAAAGCCCGCGCTGCCAGTAACAGTGATGCCAAGGTTCAATGCTAATGCATCGAGCCGCTCAGGCAGTAAAGGTCCAGAAGAATTGCATGCAGCCACACCTTGGATTTTCATTCGTTGGTTGCGGGCGGGTTATATGGTCAATCTACCAGCTTTATCGATCATATCTCGATATATCGCTATCAGATGTCTACGTATCTTTCAAACACCATCTATCAGTGCCTTCAAAACACGGAGGCCGCATTTTGTTTGGTGACCATTGTCAGATCGCACCATGGCAAGTATAACACCACATCGAGAGAGAGAGAGAGATAGATATATGTGTGTGTTTTCCATTGGCAGCAGGAGAAGAACCAAAAGGCAGGAAAAGATGATGCTAAGTCCAGCAAGCAGTGGGAAAGGAAGATCGAAAAGGCGCTTTTTTGAGGGTTCCAGTCAATGTCTCTCCGGTTTGGTTTTGGTTAAGGTTTGATGGTGAACTCACATTTATTTTGGAAATAATTTTACAATGTCCCAGCACAAGGATGCAGAAACCCCGCGCGCAGGCGGTGAAAAATGCAAACAAGAAAATCGAAGCTGCAAACGACATGGATATGACCCAGTTCCCGTGCCTCTGGCGCATGAAACCTGCCCCAGTGTACCAGGGACTAACAAAAGACATATATGCCAAACTCATCGGAAATATATTCCAGATCCAGCCTTTACAACAATCCCAAGTTCTTTAATTCCAGCGGTCTTGTGATTATACCTTTTTTATGGGACCAAGATTTACCCCAGGTGTGACAATATCAGATCTACCGGTACCAGCGTTTAAGCTATTTTTCCAAATGGGTTGAACAAACGCCTGTTCTGGTTATTACGGGATGGTTTGTGCAAAATCAAAAGCACCGTTGTTTTCCCGAAGCACTGTTTTATCATCCCTTCCGTGGAGTGGACGGGGCACGTCTATAAAATTTCCATCGAAAAAAAAAATCACTTCCTGCTGAATACCATGCACAGGGGTTAAATTTGTAAATGTCAGCCAGGGCCTCCCAACAACCAGCTACTCCCATTCATCCAGTCGATTCAGGAGTGACAGCATCAAGAAAGCTGTTGAAGATGAAGTTGCCAAAGCGTTGGCGTGCGTCAAGGCACACATGGAAAAGCTTCAGAGCCTTGATCTGGAGAAGGCCTTGGATTCGGGGCAGATTCGGGTTCGAATTATCAGTCTATCATCCACCAACCAACTTAAAACCACGGGGTATCCTCCTTGTCCCAGTGCTTAGCTACTAAGGGGTCCTTCACAGTTTGAACAGGTCAGCGAAGAAGATGTGACCCTGAGTTTGACCAGCGTAGCTGATGCGGCTACCGCCCTAGGGGATCTGACCAAGTCAAGCCCAAAACGCAAAAGCGGGGGCGCTGATGCCAAGTCGAAGCCAAAGGCTAAGAAAGCCAAAAAGTAGGCGTATGACTGTAAGATCTGTCTTTTTGAGGGGTTGCACTGGCGCCTGGCCACCCTGAAATATATTGTTTTGGGACTGGGGTTCAAACATTTTGCAACCGCTCCACCATCCCATGCAAGTCAAGTTTCGTTTTGATGCCAGAATATGCCGTGCCAGTGCATCGGCCAGACCGATGCTGCTGTGAACCGCCTGCACAAAGTGCACAATTGGGGGTGCATAAGCACAGGCCTAGAACATGGTGGTGTTGGTTTGGCTGGTCTGCCAAATTTCCAGAACTATAGGTCGTATCGACCGCAATCTCTAGTCACTAGCCATTTGGATGGATCGATGGCTGAAAGGTGAAACCAGTCGCAGGAGAAACAAACATGGGGAAGCTTTCGGGGCCGCCAAACTGTGTTTCAATTGACCACTCCTGACCGACCCCCAAACGACCATTGTTTCAATACGTATATAGGGGGGAGCAAGATTTTACAAACATTTGAACTCTTGTTTGGGTCAAAGCGCCGTGCTACTCACATGTGGGAATCTTCCACGCCAGGTGAGCAGGGCGCACAGCACCCACATCTCTTTGAAAACATGCTGTCCGAAATTGGTGATGGGGTGCAGTCCTCAGACATCTTAGCCCTTGATGAGGACCAGTGCTGTTTGGCAACCACCAGGACCATGCAACTAACTGTTGGAACCAAAAACCATCATACATTAAAAGGCCCTTTGTCATGCTATGTCGACGCATTAATTGTGCAACTTGCTCCGAACCTGAGGCTTCAAGCATCGCGAAGGAGATGCGCACTGCAGCCGCTGCATGCCAGGAGCCCGCAATAAGCCATGGCATATGGCCGGTGAAACCGCAATTTTGTGGTCAACCTTGGGTTAAAACCTTTCTGGTACATCATCATATTTTCGAATTCGGCACATCTTTTTTTAAATTGAAACTCCGTAGGTACTGATTCTGATCCCCTTTTTTCCCAGTAAAACCCTAGTTCAATCTTTGATCCACCCACTTGACATCCCCAATGCATTTGCAGGAGTCTGGAAACAATTTGGCCCCAGTGACGGTCAAGCTTGGGAGCTATTCGAAATGGAACCAAAGTCGTGACTTTGGTAGGGCTGTGCAACTGCCTCTGGACTGGTTTTGGGCGGTGCTTGGTTGATTTGGGGTTTAAGCGGGTTTTAATTTTAAAAGACATTTGTCCCCTGGGGCCCCTTACAAGGAAAAGTAAGTTTTAACCTATCATGATAATGTTTCAGGGGGTATCCTTCGCAGGAGCGTACCTACGTGGAATGCCCGGTGCCGACTCACAGGGAATCGTCCAAAGACACCTGGAAACACAAGATGATCCCCATGTATGACCCGCATTTGGTTCTAAGCTACTTGTTTGACGAGGTCGGCCTTGAAATTGATGAGGAACAAGTTCGTAGCTATTGGCAAAGCGCAGCTGAGAGGGGCTGCCCTTGGGCACAAACTGAAGATTTTGACCGCGTTCCTGTGAAGCTATTCGGGGACGACTGTGTTTATGACGAGCGCCTTACCAAGGCCTATGCCATAGTCATGTCACTTCCATTGTGGCGCCCCAAGGCGGCTCGGAATTCCAGGTTCCTTTTGTGGGTGCAGAAATCTTCGGAATTTGTTGGTTTTGAAGGCTTGCAGCCTGTACTTGCTCGCATGGTATGGTCTCTCAATATTGCATACGACCAACGGCTCCCAAAGAGTGGCCGCCGATTCTGCGTCTGTGAGATCGGTGGAGATTGGGCATGGAATAGATTTTTTTGGCAAATTGAGCGCCATTGGAACAGCTTGAAGCCATGTCCTTTCTGCGACGTTCAGAAGTTTGGGCCGCAAGCCTATTCGAACCTCCCGGATTTCTCTTGGAAATCGAATGCGGATTTTCTTTCAACAATTGTGGGCTCTGGAATGTCTCATCGGGTAAACCCTTTGATTTTGCTCAGAAATTTTCATGTGAGCTTGATACAGCCATGCCAACTACACAACTTGAATCTTGGGTTGCTATGGACATCGAATGGGGCTGCAATAGCTACGTTCGGCGAGCTGGGGTTTTGGGGAAACCCGAGTACGAGTCTAGCACTTGTTTTGGAAACTGCTTGGGACGACTTTGTGCAGTTTATGAAGCAGGAGCACAGGTACTGTTCACAGAGCAAGTTCACAATAAAAATGATTTTCAAATCCTCCCATGGTGCATACTTTAGCGCCAAAGGTCACAATTCTCGTGTGTTGGCTGATTGGCTGGCAGATTGCGCCGAGCGGGCATGGAGTTCGCGCTTGGGTGAGGGCAGGCATTTTGGTGCTTGGCTTCAAACACAACCGAACTTATTGCAGAGCGCGCTGCAGAATGAGCAGTTGGCTCCACTTTGTTTTTCTCTGACGCTTATTGTCGATTTAATCGCGCTTATTTTTTCGGGCGTCACCGGATTCAAGGAATATTGAAACCCTGCATTCACGTTATTAATTAACCTTATTGCAAAAATGGATCATGGTGGTTTTCAGGGATAACGCTTTTGGTTTGCAGAATTTCTCACTGCTGCAACCCTAGCCAAGGATTTCAATTTCACGGTATATGGCCTTGAGTGACCGTTTTCCTCGGTTCTTGTGCCTTAGCTGAGTTCAATTAAAACATGAAAAATACCCCCATGGTATAAGGACTTATGCTACACATTAAGTCTATTGGGGATTTGAAGATTTTGATGACCCATAGTAAGGAAACCTATAAACCAACCATTATAAGGAGATGGGATAGGCGATAGGGGAATTGCTCAATTGTGGGTGATGGTGGGTGCCACCAAAAATTAATCATGGGAATTCACATTGGGTGTTTATGTCAAATTTGTGGTTCCAAATTCACATAACCTCTCATTAGTCCCGCCTATATCCCAGAGTATTGCCCCAAAATTCTACTTAGCCTGCTGCTTTGCTGGGGCCACCAAGGACCGAAGCGCAAGCGACGGAGCTTTGCGAGCTGGGCGATGGGTATTTGCGTGCACATGCATGCCTCAACCAAATCTCCATGAGGACGGCGCCTTTTTGTTT